AGAAAAAAACAGAGGAATGGTAAAATGTTTGACTAAATTTAATCAAACATATATTTTATCATATCCGTAGTCTTGGGTGGCCATTTCGCATGCTGTCGGCAGGTTTCTTTGTCCACTGCTTTTTCTAAAACTCTCGTATTATGTTGTAGTAATTGTGTAGATTTGTTCCAATACCAACCCATTTCAACGTTTTTAAAATTTTATTTAGTCCACTGTATTTTTCTTTCCTTCTTTTCAAAACAATTTGGAAATAAAAAGCTGAGGCTAGGATTAATGATTATTAATTAAAATACAAGCAAAAAACCAAACAAACGAAAAACGCTTTTGTTTTGGTTAAGCACGTCCAACTTTAACCAAACCCAAAATCAAAGCCCTTAAAAGTAAACACAAAACAAAATTTAAACAAAACTTTGGGATAAAGAAATAGTAAAAGATTGGAAGGTTATGATTATAGTTTAGAAGAAGGCACAGACAAAAGAGATTTAATTATAATTAATTTTGTGAGAGCATTTTTTCAAGTGATTTTTAATAATAAATATTTAAAATAATTGGGATGAGATCATTTTTTAAGATGAAATAGAAAGGTAATTTTGAAATTTAAAATAATAATCATTGGGATGAGATCATTTTCTAAGTGATTGATCAGGAATCATTTTAAATTTTCTTTTTTCTAGTATCCTTTAGTAATTTTTTTTTTTTTAAATCACTTGACAATGATTGTTAAAATATTATTTTAAAATAGCAGGGATTTTGATATTAATAATAAAAGTGAGTGTAGGTTGAGAAACAAGTGTGGTTAATTTTGGTGAGAAAAGAAAAGGCAATAGCACCGACTTTGTTATGTGTCTGAAACAGAATATCCGTCATATTACTTTCAGTCCTTCCTCTGCCCCCTCTCCTCTCAACGTCACCACACCCATACTAAAAACACACAATTTTTCATAAAAACAATATAATAAAATATATATATATATATATATATTTATAATTCAAATTTCAAACCTATTTTTATTATATTATATTATTTCTGTTTAGTTTTAGGTTGCAAGTTGGAGTTGATTTTATAGGTTGGGGACATCAGTTTTGCTGCCATTTATTTTGGTAAGGCCGCCCTAGTACAACAAACAATAGCCAATTAGCCATATATAGCATAATTCTCCATTATTACCAGCTACCCCCACAACCCACCCTATAGAATTCACCCCAACTCTACTTTCTTGTATTTTTTTATCATGAATAAAATCTAAAGTATTCGAACTCACTATACTTTGATTGGAGATAAGTGTCTCAACTAGTAGAGCTATATTTGATTTGAAATCTTTATTCTCATTTCAAATCAAAGAAATTTTTTTTAATGTCTTAAGGCTCGTAGTTGCAACACAATAAATATATAATTAATSTCACATAAATATGAGTACTTGTTTGGGCGAAATATGATCTCACATCATTTATTTTCCTACAGAATTAGGATCATGACCAAATTATTGGTTATTTTATTTAAAACCTTGTGTATCTTTACATGGATAATGCTCGTGAAATACATTGGACATATTCATAAACATTTTTCTTTATAATTTGTCTATCCAATCCACCCACAAGAAAAGGGTTGCAATCAAAGCCGTGTAAAATGCAATTTTACATCCAACCAAAGAATAACATCAATATTACTACTTACACATATTATGCGCACAGTTTCAGGAAGTGGATTTTTTATGTACTTTTTAAAAATAATATAAAAATTAATATAGTTGCAGAAAACGTTGAAAAATATCACATATTTTTGCCGATGCCTTTTGAGTCCGAGGAACCATTTATTTAAAATCTCTCTTCTAAACAAATTATTTGCTATGAATAAATCTTCCTTCTCACAATTCATTCACTCAAACAAACATGAAAAACATTTTAATTTAAATTATTTAAACTATATCATCGTTATAATTCTAATTATCATTAACGTGTCAACATCATCTAAAATGATTTAATAGTCAAACAAATGACGACGTATGATTATTAAAATAAATTATAAATAATATTCAAAATGATATGAATACCAATTGCCAAGACAGGTAAGAGCCAATAATATTTAAAACTCTATCGTACTATATTTATTGATATAAATATTTTCATAATCACTATATGATTTGCGGCTTAGATTACCGTCATGATACATAAGTAGTTCACTAGTCAAAATTGAAATTAACAAGCATCATATTCGGAATATCACGTCTAATTTATTTTTTTTATGTAGATATTCAATTAGGTGCTGAAATTGTATCTTTATCGTCATTAGATTTTTTT